TSAYKSTTKCGCATTTTTCACAAGAACTGCCCTCTGTTATATCKTCGAACWTTGCACTTGTCTGGCAACTGYTAGTGTGTTTGGCTTGGTGATCTAGGAGCAACAGCTACAGTATTCTTATTAGGGMCTGCTGCGGCCTTTCCAGGTGGATTCGCCGGAGGTCGAGCAGTTGGCGGCGGTGTTTTTACGGCYGYATTTACAAGATTCTTTATCGGGGATGCGTTTGTAACTGGTTGAATTGCTKGTGGTGTCTTTTTAGCAAGGACTGGAGGGTTYGTTTTAGGAATTRGTTGCACTTTTGTTGGCGCCTTGGTCGGTSGTCGGGTCGTTGGTTTCGGAGTYTCCAGTACACCAGTCAGTAAGTACTTAACATGTTGTCGGTGTAGTTYTTCCAGGCATTKTCCCTTGGCTGGGTGCTGGACAAACGCTTCAGGATTGTACATACAATGAACAGCGTACATCATGAAATTCTTGTTATTAATTAACAGTTTTACTCCGGCACGTGACGCAAGCTCTCCAATATAAGCATCATCGATGTTCAAAGGATGAACTAAATCATACAAGTCCAGCACAGAAGATACAACGTCGCTTGATAGCAGAATCCCACCTCCACTGGAATACGGGGTAAACATAGTTAAGTTCGTGGCATCATCACGCGTCTGGTCCGAAACATATTTCACAGCATATCGGCCCTGACGTAAAACAGGGCTACCGACCATGGGATTTCCAGTGTAAAGTTTTTCTTGCAATGTTGTTTTAAGATCCAGGTAGTCTAGAASCCCATGTGTATTCACAAATATGTCATCGTCAACTTTCAGCAAGAAGTCAAACTTACAAAATTTCAGCGCCCACTCGAATCCCATGGCAACTTTAAAAGCCATGTTAAAGAACGATTCTTGGTACTCCCCTGTGACTATGTCACCGTACAAATCRCTCTCGACCTCTGCGATTTTTTTATCTTTCTGGTTGTCATTCTCTGTCAACAAAAAAACTGTTCTCCAGCGCATGCGTAGTGAGTTGTCTGGTCCCCATGTCTTACGGATTAATGTACGGCGATCTGAATGCCCTAAATTACTTGACACTAGAATYAGTAATCGCAGTTTTTCTGGGCAAGGAATTTTAGTTCTTAGTTTTGTATGGATTTTATGATCATGTGATCGTGCAATCGGCGTCAACGGCGTCRRCGGCGCTCTTGTAGTTGCCAAATTCTCATTGGAAAAAATTAAAATGCAGCTTACCATCACTAAAACGGTGATGGCTAGAATTATAAATTTCAGTAACTTTCTGAGACTGCAAAGTAATCTGCAGTTGAAACACCTCATTTTGATCCACCAATTCTCAACAAAATGCGGGTTATTTTGTAGATTATCACCAAGATGTGATTATATCCTAWATTCCAGATAAGTTGCGCTTTCGTATTTCCTTTGTACTGTAAGTGCACTTGTTTAAACTTTGTAAACAATTTCCCGCAAGATTATATAATGATATTCTATCACCAAACGTTATTGATACTTCATTGCCTTTGCCAGGAATATCCAGAGTTACACGGTTGAGTAACTTATTTTTCACCAAGTCAGAAAAACTGATCGACAATGGTGTTTTGAAGGCCCAAAGCCAACGCTGAACTGCAGTAACAACTAAACTTTTTAGCCTGCACCAGCAGGCCGTACTTCTGTCACTACACGTCAACAAAAATCATTCCCGAAATTAAACGCACGGAGAAACATGGTAATAATCAGCATTTCATTTCCGTTTTTCCTTGAGAGAAGTATTAATGAGAAACGATAACTTTGAAGTTCAATCTTCAGAAGTAATTGCACTGAATTCTGTGGTTTGATTGTTTTACATCAAGAAGTACCAATGTTTAGCAAAGTAAATGAAAGCCCAATACCACATCTACCAAGTTCATTCAAGTTAGATCACCTGTTTGGTGTTTTGAGTTCTTTAACGTCAACAACTTCTCCAAATATCAGTATTGTCTTTGCTGCGAGTTTTACCGTGTGATGAGTATATTATAACTGTAMAATAACCAGAAAGCTCTAATAACAGAAGCTAATATAGTCTTCCTAACAGCGTGTTGTCGTGTTAGCTGTGTTTGCAGGAAACATCTTAAAGGCAATAAAAAAAATAATCTTGACCACACAATAAGACGATACGTGATGTCCCTTGTATAAGATGGTTTTYACTTGAAAAGACGAGGAAGATTATATCCCACGTCAATCAGGAAGCGATAATTCCCGCGTCAAAGCAGCTGTAAGCGTGTGCTTCTAGGCCTGGGTTTCTCTTCTATCAGCCGAAAAGACAGTCTTGATTAGGGCAATACAGTTAATTTCTGTGTTGGAAGCAGTCTTCAATATCTATAATGAAAAAATGGTGAGAGGTTTTGAAAGAAYTGAGCATTTTTTCACCAGCTCAGACGATTGACTGGTTCTTTAGTGCGCTGACCGTCGGGGAAAGCAAGCTTGAATAGCAACGCAGGTGATGAGATGAAAATGAGTCCAAATTTCAATATCAATTCGCTTTCTACCTCCCAGGTTCAAATTCAAACAAGGCTTTACGGGATAATTATCTTTCACGTGGATGCAATCATTTTAAAAAGGATCACTTTAAATTTAGATAAATGTACGTTGCTGTAACCACACCATTCAGTGTATGTTGCGGTCAAAGACTGACAAAGAATATTATCAAAACAAGACGCCACTGAAGATGACAGAAAATTCTYTCAACCTGCGGTTTCTCCTCTTTCTACGCAATAAGTATCACCTTGGCAACCGATAAACGCTAGTCAGGTATTTACTCGCCTTTTTGAAATCATTTTCTTCAACTACACATGCAAATGTTTTAGATTTTGCGAAGTTTAGCAATGTATTGCGCAAGCGCTGGTTTAATTCCTTCAACAAAAAGTCGTGACTTTCAAGGGGTTAAAGCTGGAGTCACTAAGATGCATAATTAGAAGTTTTAGAAAACCAGTTGTCCAGTCATAAAATAAACAATTAACTGCATGCAATAATATTGTGGCGTGAGATTTTCACTTTTTTTGTATAGGTAATAGCATGTTTTGTAGTGGTATTTGGGCTAAATACAACGCTTAATATGTCAAAATTGTCAAACAAAATTTTACGAGCGAAGCGGTATTTATTTCAAATTCCACGTACAAAACATGCAATTTGTTGTTTATAAAATGTTTGAATAAAATTGTGCAATTTGAAATACCACTATTAATAATGGAAATCAACCTGCTAAGAACCAATCAGATTGCAGGATTCACTTGTGATTTCAAAATGGATATAATTAAGGATAAAATACATGCACTCCTCCAATCAAATTGCACAATTTTTTTCAGTTTCAACCATTAAATAAAATTTAATCAATATTATAGATAAATTAAAGATATAGTCACTTTTATTATTAATCAAACTATGGGCAAACATAAAAGAACATGTTTGCATCGAGTAAAGCAAAATTAGTAAAAAAAAAAAAAAACAGAAAAATTCAGAAAAATTGTTCTCTTTTTTCTTTCTTTTTTTCAACGTCGGGTGGATACAAAAACACGGCCTCACGGACTATCAACTCGTAGTTCACGCGACCTCGTGGTCTAATTGTTGAAACACACATAAGCCAGCCTGATCACTACTCCTGTTTCAATCCTCGAATCATATTATACTCTCATTGRTCGAGAGTCGACCACGTGACGCGATATAAATGCCCAGCCACGGAAGGAAACTATTAGTGCATTGAGCCCGCCACTTCAGAAAATTGTGTTGTTTTGAATAATAAAAACAATGGAGTAGCATAAATGTCGTACCATTACGTTCTAAAGGGTTTTCTAGCTTGTAAAGTGGATGTTTCTCTTTATAGTTTCCCTCGATCTTCGTTTTGTGTCTTTTGTTTTTGGGAACATTCAGTTTCCGTGAACAACTATCACAGTCGAAAGTCCTCGATTCAACTACTCTATAATCATTTTAGCTGAATTATTTAGTACGGTATTTATAGAAAGAATCAATCACTAATAACTTATTGTCCATCAAAGCTCCAAAATTCTCGCTTTTTATAGAATGGCATTTAAATGGCAAAAAAACCCCGCTAATTCGACGGGACGCTCAGGATAAAGAAGTCCTCGGTTGTTATCAATCGCCATCTTCAACACATYGTGATAAAACAAAGATTTTGACATGTATAGTAGATATGGTTAAGTAAAAAATTAGCGTATTTCAGACGAGTGCATGAAAGTCATTTAGCTTTGCTTCGAAGGAAAGCATCTTAAAATTTAAGATTAACATCCTCGAGAAACAAAGCTGTTGAGGCCGTATATCGGGCACTCGTCAGTTGTTCACAATCCCTAATATCTAATGGTAATACGTACTTCAAATGGGCCTTGAGTATGAAAACCAGCTCCACAACAAATTGTGCAATATCCAGAAGCTGTTGTAACAGTATCGTTTCTCCGTTCAAAAAATAGACCGAGTCCAAACATCAACAGACTCGAGCCAAAATGTAATGACAATTCTTATGAATTTCGCTGCACCTGTTGTTAGTCTGGCTATTGATGACGATAATRAATACAGACTTCATGCAGATACTGATTCATATCTCATTTTTCTTCTCTCGTTGTAAAGAGGCGAACAAGATCTTCAAGAGTTTACCAAGCACGTCTTTCGCTATCTTAGATCAACAGAACCAAACAATGGGCGGAAACGAATGAAATTGAGATCGAAACTGACGAACGAAGTCGGCTCAACAAATACAATTAAGGATTTATAACTGATAAAGTTTACATAAGGGCACAGAGCAGTTCCTTTCAATTTCAAAACACGTTTTCATGTTAATTCGACATCGAATTTGTAATTATTGCATGAATATAAGTCACGCACCTCCTAGTAAACTTTACTAATGTMTTCCAATAATTCCATGTTCTTTTAAATGTTTGTATTTCTTACCGAAAAGTGTATATTCCTTGGCAACATCATGGAAACACATAAACAGTTTTCATGAATTCAATTTAAATAGGAAGCTTTGTTTAGATTTAAAAAGAAAAATTTAATTGACAACGATAAAAAACCCTAGAAACGTATGGGCTTARAAAAGTTTTTAACGAAAAGACACACTCACATAAGAAATGAGCAGGTTTTATCGTATTCTCAAAAAATACTTCATTGRAAACTTATTTATAATTCACAAAGCTGGTAAAGTACAATTTTTTTTATAATTACATTGAATATTTCAGCAGTATCTTGTGATCTATAATAGATGTATGCTAGATACCCCACGCCGAAAAAGATTCATTATTAAATAAGAAAATGTAAACGAAAAAACTATTTCGTCAARAAATGTTTGATTTTATTTTACAAAAACATGAAAAAGTGAAAAGCGCTCGGCTACGCATCGTGCGCMATCAAGTGAACTTGATGAAATTGTTCAACCCGCGAAGCAGTGGACAGCGTTCTTAAGTTTTTTAAAGCATGACTGTTCTCAAACCTGATAATTATTTTGCACTTTTGGATCCGYCTTGCAGGCCCATAATGCACTTTACAGTGTAAATGACACTCGATGCAAATTAATAGAGCAGCTGCAAAAGAAACCGGATATTCGCACAATTTTGTCAGCCCCTGTTTGTACAAAACTCATTTATCTAAGTTTGTTAAAGCAAACACTCAGAATTTGTCAATGTTAATAAAAGTTCAAAGCTCTTATGGCCTGCTTATATATGCACATATTTGTATAATACAGCAAAAACCTATCATAGTTTAGTACGATGACGGATGCTCAAGTTTGTCTTTCATCGCTGCGGTCTTAGTTCGATTCTGCAGTCCGTCAACCAAGCATACGCCAGTTGATTTACATCGTGTCGCTTTAACAAGTCGTTTGTATCACTCGATGAAATCTAAAATTGCATTTGTCTTCGAAACATGYCGCCGTTTGACAAATCCCTACTTAGATATATCTTTCTCTACATTATTCCAATCTTACTGCATTTCAATTTCATGTCTAGTTTTTCTTTCTTTTAATTCCATCCCTCACTACATACTTCCATTTTTTAGTTTGAAAAAAAAAAATTATCATTTTTTGAAGAACTACGACTAAAGGTCTGTCATTGTGGMTCTGTTGTGTTGTTAGAGAAAGCGTACTGATTTCCAGGAGCTCGGTGTTGAGAATCCAGTTATAAACTTGAGACAGTCGAGTCATATAACATGATGTATGAGGTGGTGTACAAACCCAAAAAACTCGTTACCGATCCCTCAGGTCGGGCGACAATTGACCCCAAACAACGTGATAAGTGATGCATGTACCAATGCCTCATATAAAACTGCTTTTTTTTGTGGACACTAACCTCAAAGAACTGAAAGGTTGAGGACGTTACCACTTGTTCAGGATTGCGTGACATATCTCCCCCCGTTACACACGCGATTTGTTATCCATAAACAGTTTTAATTTGTGACTTAATACTAAACTTCAAACTATCAGGATACAGTTTTCTATTGAAATTTTAAGTTGAAAATGATTGCTGGACACACTGTTGAGTTAASGAACAATTTTTGGAGAYAYGGCAGTATTTTGATTCAGTTTTTTCTCTAGAGGGTCCGAAGTTCATGAAGTTCATTACGTTCAAGTCTGAGTCAATATCGATATCCGATCCAGACGATGAAAATAATTCGATAAACTGAAACAGTTTTCTAAAGAATGTAAGGCTAACAACTAGGAGTGCTGTGCTTGTTATAAATTCCACATGTGAAAACATAACATAATGAGTTAAAATAGAAATGCCAGTCTTGTTGTTGTCAAAGTGGTTGAATGTGCCGGTATGCGACGAAATCGCTTAGGCAATTACTTCTACACGAAAATTGACAATTTAMTTGCAAGTATTATCTTGAGCGATTTTGCAATAGTCTGAGATATTCTGAGACATTTTATTCTCTACAATAAATGTGAGGAATGTGAACSATGCTCATGATTGTCGGCACTTGCGTGAATTGTTCGAGTGTGCGAGGCCTAAAAGGTATATTTGCTTGCATATTTCATAAACGTTGAGTTTTCTTCAAGTCATTCCAAATTTATCAATTAAAAATGATATAGAATTAGCACAAAAGAATTCAAATAAATGTTTCTTGTCTTGATTTTGAAAGTTATAGCCACCAGCACCAAAATTTAACACAAAGTTAAGCTTACTTTCATTGATCACGCTACGAAATACGCAACTTCAATACGCCTTCGGAATTCGCTCTGCCTTTCATGATTCTARCTATATTCAAATAGAAATCCTTACCTATTTCGTCTATTTATCAGATCTAGACAGACATCAATTCACGTACTTTGAAGCGGAYGAACCAAACGGATGAAAGCAAACTTCAAAGCCGATGCTTCTGACGCATTGCCAGCCCAGCTTGAGYTTTCTGCACTCGTAGCTAAAACCCGTGACTGAAGCTTTGCGTGACACAATTTCTCGATGACGTAATCATAACAACCAGTTTTTCCTGAGTTTTCGCCAAACTGTGAATATTTTTATAGCGATTGAAGACGTAATTACAATATTTGAGAGTAAATTTTGAAAAAGGGCACCTTTTGCTGTTCATAGACAGCGAAAAATATTCATTTTAGCGAGGAGGCATTGGCGCACAAAAACCACAGTGAGCCCGAACGAAGTTATTGTCACAACAGATGACGTAAAGGTTTTGTTGATCGAACCCGGAACCTTTGAATTTTGAATTTTAATTATCTTCAAAATAATACCTTATAAAAGCACTGAAAACTGTAAATAATTCTCAGAAATCTCTTCGCAAAGTTATAATGACTATTAAAAAACGCTTTGTTCTAGTGATCTTAGCATAAAAGTCTGAAGTGATTTTGAACATGAGGTGCGGCATAGACGCTAGTCTATGTGGACTGTACACAAAATAGACACTTGGAGTTAATGTTTTGTTCTTGTGATAATAAACACTTTATTGCCAATGTTTGCATTGTATACAGTTACTAGTAATAGTCTAAAATATACACAATCGATATACAATTTRTCATGTACAGTGTACAGGTATAAGATATAATATATGTTTACAAAGGTTTTGAGCTATACTAATTAGTTTCACGCGTTTGTACGTTCATCAGGCTACTGGTCTTAGTTCGATGCTATTTATAGTTGTTGTTTTTGTTTCGCCTCGAGAGCAAAAAAACTATAAATAGATTATGCAACTAAAATAAGTAGCCTGATGATCCTGCATAAACGCGCGAAAGTTTTAAGTAGCTCAAAATCCTTCTTTCGCTCTACATTATGTATTCAGAGCACTAGAGCGGATTTCGTATGAGTGAGAAACGGACGATACTGTACTGTGACCGTAATCGTACTGTAACCAAATTCTAGTGCCCCATTGGTTCACCAAAATTCTGCAGGCCAGGGACCAGGCCAGGTGCGGTAACTGTGCGGTAACCGTGCGGTAACGGTGTCCCACTCATACGAAATCCGCACTATTACCGACAAGGTATAATATGTATATTGTACAATACCGCGCTCCGAGTGGATCAGACTTGGTCAACAATAACTTGACGCTTCTCTGACATTTCATCATCAAAAGAKTAATTGGAATTTGCTAGATTTTCACTGCATCTTCTAATTAACATCCACATTCTAAGAGAAGCACATGCTTCACGATTCTGGTAAACGGGTGACCATTTTGTTCAACAAAGCGCAACACAACACAACAGCAATGCCAACGCAAAACGCACGCAACACACAAACCCAGGTACCGTTCAATAGCAAAATAAATCTTTTACGTTCGAGATGATAAAAGCGCGCTCAGACTTCTGGATAGACCATTTTCACATCATCCAATGTCAAAAACTCGTCAAGGAAGTCTTCAATCTTGTAATCAACTGTCTTTAACCAAGCAGAATGCATAGCTYCTGATTSRCTCTTAKATTCTGGTGCTGTTGGGTCGGTTTCTTTTGCATTGGCGTTGTCAGTGCTCTGTGGAAAGAAATTAAAAGTCCATGGTTATCCGGCATTCAATGCGGTCGTGTTTTAGGTTTTTAATAAGTTATACTTAATGGAAAGTGAGGTTACTTAAATATCCATTCGCAATCCATTTCCATCCGTTCCATTACACTAGACATGCGCGAAAAATATAACCACAAAACTTTATTATACTAGCGGTCACCTTCGGTAAAGACCAGGTGACCGTTTAATAGAGGTTGGCCGCTTAATAGAGGTCATGTTACAGGAAATGTACATGAGAATCAAGTTATGAGGAACTCATGAGTGACCGCTAATGGAAGGTGACCGCTAAAGTAAAAAGCGAAAATAGTGTTCACTGTCTAATGATAGAGTGCACGCCACATAAGCATGAAACAATTCTTAAGTAATTAGCGCCTAATWAGATTTAGTTATCAACTTACTAAGAATTTAGTGACGCATAAACAAAGACAAGTTTCCTTTCTGGTATTGTGTTCATGCCCCAGTGAATTCTTAGTTAGTTGATAACTAAAGTTTATTAGATGTTGATAGTTAAGAATTGTTTCATGCTTTTTTGGCGTGCACTCTAAGACAACAGAAAACAAACGAATTCGATAACCAAATCCAGTGGGAAGTTTGAAAGATTTTTTTCATGACTTTTTACACTACACTTATAGCAATAACACCATGCACTTTGCTAAGCATGATGCTAGAAAAGCCAAGTACTTGTATACCTTTGAATCAACTGCTTTTGCCACTTCGCTTAATTTATCCTTAGCACGTGACATGACAAATCGTTCGAGCTCGCTTCTTGCAGCTTCTCTCACGAGTTCATTCAGTTCAAGTTCCTTGACTGGACGGGCACAGAACAAATGATTTCCCCACGTTATGAGTCCAAGGGCTGCCACAGCACCTATTTGGAATTTCAAATAAATTGGTTGAACATCCATGCACTTTTTCATGTACGCTAAAAACGTCTCCCTTGTCCCCTAAAGTTCTCCTTAGCTGWTATAAAATAGATAGGTGTATTATCTATACAAAGAAAGCATAAAGACGTTTTTAAAAGGAATTTTTTCGCGGCCATAAAAACTGTACAAAATGGCGCGTCTCTGCGAAACGATGAGGCTGCTTGCGAAACGTTGAGGGAGAGGACACACTTGCGAACTGGGACATTGGATGGTTAGTTTTTTTTGCGCTTGCTTGCCCAAACCCCTAAATCTTTGGAAGCAGTGAGATCTCTAGCTTACAAAAACTCTTTAAGAACGCTTCGAATAACATGCGTAATTTTCAATTAATTTTTTTTGAATAAAGAGTTGTCGCAAATCGTGCCACGCTTTTCTTGAGAAATTTCCGAATCTGACGCCGTTGATTTTTCTTTTTTGCAATAGCCGAGTTTAGATATTTTGCTTCAGTGACCATGCACAAAAGAATTGCAGACGAGGCTCCGGGGAAATAAAGAATAAAACGATATTATACGYTCTTTGATTGGTCATTTTGAAGCGTGCACTTCAAAATAACTCTTTGAAATATTAAAAAAAATAAAATTAYCAATGGATAATCTTGATTTATTCTGTATTTCCCCGGAGCCTCGTCTGCAATTCTTTTGTGCATGGTCACTGAACCAAAATATCTAAACTCGTCTATTAAAGTTCYAGTTAATTTTAGACGTTCCTCCCCCTCTTTAAGCACATAAAACTAGATGTTGCCCCCCTCTCCCCCACTCTGGATTCTCAACCTCCCTCCTGATAAATATTGCCTTTATAAAGCGACCTCCATATACTTCACCTGTCATCATCAAAAGTCCCAAAGTCTGCGCCTCCGACTTTGCGTCTCGTTGTTTAATATGGAATTCATATTCTTCTTGCTTGGAACAGGAGCGAACGATCCCGCACTCGTCGTAACCAGCCCGATAGCAAACCCAGATCTTAGAATTCAAAAACGCTGCTATCACCCAGGCAACAGACGGCATTACCATATATAGAAATGCAGCTACACTCTCGCCGATCATTCGAGCATCAAGGCATCTTTTTTTGGAAGTTTTGCGGTTGAAAAGAAGACGGACATTTTTGGATTTGATGAGAGTGATACCGAATATTACACACGGTGGAACACAGAGCCATAGTAGAGCGTTACGACAGTTAATACCATATTTGGTGACAACTTGCTCAAATGCTACGACTGAAAAAAGAATTAAATTAATAGTCTCTTTCACGGTTCTCTGCGCCATCTTGAAAGGTAGCCGTGCCTTTGCATCGAATCGAGACGACCCCTTGAGCGTGCAATGATAGATACCTTCTTTCACACCTACAGACAATTATTCACAGGTATCTATCATTGCACGCTCAACGGTTGTCTCGCTTTGATGTAAAGGCACGGCTAAGTGGGCTACCTTTCAAGATGGCGCAGGGAACCGTGAAGGAGACTATTTACATCAGATAAAACCATCCTCGGGATCGCAAAATGCAAAACATTGACGAATGTTCCCGAGGATGTCGACCGCAAAGGTTCACGGATGCAAGTGCGCCTTTAAGCATATATACAACAGACCTGCAAAAATGCTCAAAGCATTCTTGATGCTTTTCTTGTCTTGAAAGGCTGAGTAGAGCTTTGGCATGGCTTACTGGAGTAAGAAATTATCAAAATAAAACTGTAAGAATGAAGCGCTAAGAAGGAAATCCGTTTATCCGTTTTCCGTTTACTATACAGAATGGCTGCGAAATAATTGTTCGACCGACACAGGCATGTTTAAGGTACAGACGCGATCGTTCACACAGGAACTTTGTTCTGAGTTCCAACGGTTGTGATTCTCGCCCCATGTAAGAGAATCCAGAGAACTAGAGGATTCCGGATTCCAAGCGCAAGATTCCGGATTCCGAAACATTGGATTCCGGATTCCAAGCCTTGGGATTCCGGATTCCAAAGAATTTTTGTGTTGGATTCCTGATAATAAATGGCGTGATATTCAGTGTCTTTTTTTTCCTAAAAATTTTATATTCAGCGTCAAACTACGTATATGAAGTACAGTAAAGATCAGTTGGATTTACGTTCCCATCTCTCAACAGCTAGATTTTCACCGATAAAAGCAGTCTTCCTAACTATCCAGATTCTGGATTCCAAATAGTTGGATTCCGGGATTCCAGGATAGGGATTCCGGATTCCAAAGCTGTATTTTTGCTGGATTCCGGATTCCGGATTCTCTTACACGGGGCGATGATTCTAGTAGACTCGAGCTCAGGCTTCCTTTAAGAAATGCCCAAAATTATTTTTGCGGTTCGATTTCAGTTTTAAACGGGTTCGACTAGAAAGTGAAAGCACATATGGTAGAATCTAATTATAATAATTAGACCTCATGGAATCATCGAAATAGCTAAGAATTTCAGATAGGAAGCCCCAGTAATGGTTAATTTGACATTGAGCTGTAAATTCGAGCTCGGGCTTCCTTTAAGAATGCCCAAAATTATAGTTTTTTGCGGTACGATTTTTTTTCAAGAATCACTGAAACCTCCGATTAGAAAGTAAAATCACATATAGTAGAATCTAAGTATAATAAATAGACCTCATGGAATCAAAAGATAATACGCAGAATCTATCAAATAAATCACTAAGGGTGCCGATAGAAATATATTCCACAGCAAATTCTCTATACTTGATGCAACCTGGACACGGTATGTTCCAATACATTCTATATTTCTTGCATGAGGTCAATTTAGACGGCACAACTTTTGCCTATACAACCATAACATGCAACCTGCTTAAGTCATCCTTATAACATGGCTACAACTGTCGTGGGGGGCTATTAAGTAATTGCTTTAATTCCCTACGACAGTTGTAGCCATGTTGTAACTATGACTTACGCAGGTTGCATTCGATGAATGTAGGCAAAAGTTGTGCCGTCTAAATAAGTCGGCCTTTCAATAAATTGCACACTACATCAATATATATTTCACGGGTTTAGAGTTTTTCTCATTAACCTGTGAAACAGAGTTTAATAGTCCAAGTGTAATAAAATGTGATAAAAATATAAAGAAAACGTCAAAAAACACCAGGTAATGAAGTTTAGTGTACGTAGCAAAACGTGTTTCACGGRTCAATTAAAACCATTCTATCAAATYAAAATTTTAATATTAAGATTATATACATGTAGAAATACTTCCCATGAAGAAAACTTACTAAGCTATAAAGWTTGAATTTTATAACCATACCTTTCTTGTGTCTAGCCCAGTGAATGTACAATCTAACACTAAACAAATAATTAAAAAATCTCTAATCACCAASTTGTTGTGCCAAAACATGGAGTTTACCTGCTTTCAAATGTCAATGTTTTGATGTTTGTTGTGAAGTTGATTTGAGAAGCGTGACCAAACCGTGAAATTATTTTGATAGGTGCGKGATCAGTGTGACAAATAGTGCTATAACGCTATAACTCTCGCCAAAAGAATGCGAAACCTCGAATTTACACTTGCGTTTACACTTGCGATTTTTGCAGCCGCGATCTTTGTAAACAGCCCTGTGATTTTTGCGACGATGGAAAAATCGCCGCGTTAGTTGAAGCAAATTTTCAAGCATTACGAAACTCAGGCGATGGTCGCGCGAYGATAGGCGCGAGAATCTCTCTGCAAAAATCGCAAGTGTAAACGGGCCTTATGGGTCCAGATTTATCCTCTTATTTGCTTTTGTTACTTGAGTGCTTTCGTTTGAATGCAGATAAAAACTGTCTCGCCTAAATTATAAAATGGGTTGCAGCCGACCCTGTCGCGATACCTCTAAACCCGCTACTGTGCAGTTTACAAGTAGTGCTCACGTACTCCGGGGAGAACCSCCMTTKTATCTCGACAAGGAGCCTATAGCTAAGAAAATATTTCATATAAAGTATGATGTGCACAGTGTATGCGCACATATCACAGGATTTATTAATGCCTTCTTGTCGACTTTTTAAAGCTTTTTGATCTCACCATATCTTCTTGGTCATCTCCTCTTTGAACACCGATGGAATCTGAAAGCAGCCCTGATGCTGGTTCAGGTCTAAGAGGCAACTGCTTTTTAAAATTCACAATAGTTTTTACCAGGTGAAGCACCTGTTTCTCAGTGTTATGTGCATGAATTATAATCCGTATTCTTTCGTCACCCTTGGCAACCGTAGGACTTCGGATTGGATARACCATGATATTTCCTTTCGTCCTCAACGCATTCGCCATTMTGATACAATTTTCATTTCCTCGACAAAGCACGCCTTGTATGGGAGTCTTGCTTGGCAAAAGAAAGGACTGACCAGTGTCAAYGCCACCAGATTTACCCAACTCATCTAAAAGYCTTGAACGAAAGAGCCTGATCAATTGAAATACTYTTTTTCTCAGYYGTTCGCCATCAGCTCCAATCATGGAGTCATAGRAGCACTTAATTGCCACCAAAGAATGAGAAGSAAGCGACGTGGAATATATAAATGGTCTTGCATAATTTATAAGGTAGTTAATCAGTACTCTTGACCCCGTGATGACKGCACCGTGACAGCCAGCTGCTTTTCCAAATGTGAAAACTCCGGCAAGAAGTGCTGGATGATTTTCTAGATTCAGTGCAGCTAACACTCCCGTACCTCCTTGGAYATCAGMAGCKGTATSATGACTGATGTTTGYKTCATCATGATTAATTGATTTAGCAAGCTTCAGATCTTGACAATTAGTTCGACCAAAGACTCCTAAACCGTGTGCTTCGTCCACAATAACACTTGTACWGTACTTGAGGGATATGTTCAAAATTTCTTCCAGTGGAGAAATATCGCCATCCATGCTGTAGACACTCTCAACGACAACGAATACACATTGCTTCCTTGGTGGTTCTTGAGTCATTTTTGCTGTCACTAGCGAGAGCACACGCTCCAAATCACTGGAATCATTGTGACRGAAGAAATAAACTCTCGTGCTTGGAATTCTACTCATTCGGACTCCCATGATCAAACTGTTATGTACAAGTTCATCCATGATAACAAAATCGTCCGGTAAGGGTAACGAGCCAAGGAGGGACAAATTTGCATCATATCCAGAATTACACAGAATTGCAGCCGGTCGTTTGTGCACCGTTGCTAGAAATGTTTCCAACGTGAGGGCCAGACAAGAGTTGCCTGAGAGCAGTCGTGATCCTGTGCTGCCGAGATGGGGASGTGGATGCTTTGCGATATGAGCTTTATATTTAGACTCAACGMTTTCTTGTTGTTTTATGGAATGCGCAAGTCCGAGGTAATCGTTACTGGAAAAGTCCAGAAAGGTATTTTCCTGACGGTTGGGTATTCGGCCGGGAGATGTTACGTGTGGCAAATCCAAACTCCTGTAGGATGATTTTCGTATTCGCTGATCCAATTTTTCCTTCAACCTCGATTCAATATCGTTCGTCGTTGACATGATAAATCTGAATTTAAAATGATATAATAAAGATTTTTTTATCAAATCATCCCGAGGCAAACTACTCTGCGAACAGAGCTACTGTCTCGGTTGTGACAATAGACTATAAATCCAGCATATAATAAACTATCTATCAATTGTCCTTGATAAACTTGTTGATTGCTCAATAATTTACGATGAACCAAGAAATAAATAGCTATAAATGCAACTTTTACACTGCAACTAGTCGATATGAAATGTATATATATTTGAATGTAATACTGTACCTTCTAACCTTTTAAACTTTCTTGTAGAAATTGAATACTTGCTTCGTATAAATTTAATGCAGTTGAAAGATAAACTTCATGAGATCAGAGTGAAATAATTAAATCCACTCATTTTGACGCCTTCTCGACAAGCACATCCGCCATCATGCAAKATTATTACGTGGGCTTCCTGTGGAAGCTCACGCTTTCAAATGGTAGCGCCTGCAATCTACTGTAGCCTGCGTGCAGCCGGACCAAAGCTGTCGTTACYGCAATCAATCTGCGTCTTGTTTTCATTTTTGTGACGAAAGGCCTTATGGGGCCTCTCGTCACTATATGTCATTCGTGACATCGTCACACTCGAACCGTAACCATACACTTGTAGCAGGCGTTCCTTGCGAGTCCTTGATATGTTTTAAATTAGTAGAAAATCGAAAATCTACTGAGGAACAAAAACAACAGCAAAGAAAAAAGAAGAAAAGAAAAAGAAAAAAAAAGAAGAAAAGAAATCAGGAAACAAAGGAAAAAGAAACAATAAACAAGAAAAAAAAGAGAAATTCCAGCAGCAGGATTCGAACTCAGGAATTTCACTGTAGGAAAAGATGCACCCCCCGGAATACATAAAAAATAATGAAAATAAAAAACTAAAAAGATGGGACGATTCCCCGGGCATACATAAGAAATAATGAAAATAAAAAACTAAAAAGATGGGACGATTCCCCCGAGACATTCTGTGAAGCTGAGGCGTCGAATCGGCTTACGTTACGGTTAGAGATTTCGGCTCTTCCACGCTATCCCGAGTGAACATAAAACTTAGTCTTAACCAAAAGGCCAGGGAGTGAGGGGGTAGCCGCCCACTAGAGCATACCTTTAGCTACCCTCTTAGACCATCGTACTATGAAGACACTTATAGATCTAATATCTAATTGGGGTAGTCTATTCGGTGAAGTTCTATGCTAATATATGACGTCACCAAAATCCTTAGGGAGCAGCGAGCCAATAAGAGCTCAACTCAAGAATTAGCAAAGATGCAGGGTTTGCATAATCATTCTTCAGTGGATTTATTATTTGATGGGGGGTGGGGACGGGTGCTGAGTACTGGTTTACGCACGAACCGATGTACTCGCTGTAATGTGGCGGCTTTTACCGAGCAGTTAAATTGTCGTTATTGTTTTCCAATTCATCGCAGGAAAATGTGTACAGTTCTTATATCAGACAGACATTACTGAGTATTCAAGTAAACAGCACATCAAAAATCTCTTGAAATTCTTAACATTGGTGGTTTACAGACCAGGATCGGCCAGGCAGATACTACCGGTTGCTAAASATTTGCCGGGATTCATCGCAATGCAAATGGCACTCGAACGTTAATTCGGCATTTCTGTTCTTGATGATATAAAACTGAGTTGACAAATGGATTAATATTGATTATCAAATAATTATCAAATCTAAATATAGTGAATGTTAACAATTGATGCCAAGAGGATGAATGACAATCCGTATTGATAAAAATTGATAAAATTGATAAAGAAATGAAGAAAAACTTAGCAATCTTTGGGTTTTATTTCAAAACTATCAGGCGCATCTGGATGTAAAAATACAGTTTATAATATAAATTAACATTTTATCGAACAAAACGTTCGCGAGAATTTACAGCAAAGCTTAATCAAAGCTCTAAGGACTCCATGTCYTGGATAACAATTCCATTTCCCCGTATCTTTCAGACGGATATATTTATTAGGCAGGGAAACAGGGCGMCCCGCGTCAGGCCCSTACGGKAGGARTCATCAACCATARCAATAGGTTCCTTGGCCCCTGGGAATCGCCGCCTGGYGTGTATTTATAGACAACGKAATGCTTGATCACAACTTGATGCTTTTAGTTCTTTGCAGGSTATACAGCTAATTAAAGATATTTATTCCAAGGGCGAAATGCATTGTGGGTCTTTCTATCACCGTTCACCATTCAAAAGGAGCTTTCATTACATTTAGAATTGCCATTTTGTAACGAAGCAAACACAAACTAAATTTCTTAATGGCCTGACTCACRTGCAGTCATCGACTGTCTCAGTTTTTGACATGTATTGTTTGTATGTCAATACGTCGTGGCCTGGTCGTGATATCTACGGCTTCACTGTGACCAGCTGGTTTGTTTATAAGCCATATGTAAATCATATGACAAAACCAAAGGCTGTGGTAGTACTTAGTTCAGTTCGCGCGGTAAAAAATAAAGATGTAAATTTTTTATGACTTAATTCTGTCTTGAGTTATTTCAACCAAAGACTGTAACGTGAAAATGAAATACTTATAGATTACGGCGTCAGCTGACCGTTGTCGCAGCTACAGGAAGCCCACGTAAGCGATCTATGATTGTGTAGTTTAACCGCAACTGCTCATAGTGCATTGTCAACTAGACGCTCAAAGAGCGCTTAATAGGGCTGCAGCATAGAGCTGTCAAATGATAAAAGACGTCAAATTCAATTGTTACCCAAAGTTTAATTCACGTCGACTGATTCAGAAATCTATTTACATTTTATTTCTTCTACTTATTTACAATTATTATTAAAAATAATAAATTTGGAGCTCCCAAGCACTGAACGTTCGATAAAAACAAACTCTGAAAGCTTGAAAAAGTACTCATGAAATGCTTTAACTCCACCACCCTCCGATATTTGCCTTCCGTACTTGCTGTAGCTGAAAGAAAGGGAAAAGAATGAAGTGAAAGAATAAATAATAAATGGATGGATGAATAAATGAAATACAATTAATAGATGGATTAAATAGATAGATTAAACCATAAAACTATTATTCTACAGATATTTTAGTTAAAAACTGAATAGAAATCTKCTGTACCTCTTTAGGACTGAACTCAAGAATAGTTGCAATGGCGAGGACCATCTGTTCTTTGACGGAGTAACTCGTGGATAGCATGAAACGAAGAACAATGTTCTTGAGATACTCCAAGTTGGCGCTCTCCCTAGAACTGGAAAAATACAAAATAAATTATAATATATCTGAAAAAGGAGGTCGACTTGACAAAGGTGTATTTTGTTCCGTGCCTTTATGAAAGCAGGACGAACGTTGTAAATTGGTAAAACCCCCTCTTTCCCGTGTATGGACAATAAATCGCACATGTTTGACATTTCAAGCTCAAAAATCGAGATGATCTTGCTGTKYGGTGATGCRAACGCATGGYTGTTWTGCACGAGGCTCCATACTTACCGATCTCTCTCAAGTTTGCGAATTTCTTCTTTCAGCGTCTCACACTGTTCGTCATGTTTAGATAACCTAAATAGAGGAGATCAATGAATCAATGAATSAATCAATCAATCATTCAATGAATGAATCAATGAATGAATCAATCATTCAATCAATCAATGAATCAATGAATCAATCAATCATTCAATCAATCAACCAATCAATCAATCAGTCCATCAATCAATCAATCAATCAAATAACGACTGGAGACCAACTACTTACTGTATTGACATATCTCTCATTTCATCCTCCATTTCAATCTTTTGTCTTCTCAAATTTGCTGTCTCAGCTTCTCTTCTGGCTTGTTGTTGGGCAAAATGAATCAGGACACCTTCACTTGATGACGCCTGATGAAAACAGGACCATGGGATTTAGAAGCACTTGTGATTCCATTAGGAAAAGAGAGAAGATAGGAAGGATGGAAGGGAGGAAATGATGGAGGGAGGGATTCAGGAAAAGAGTCACCTGGAGAGAAGAGACAGGGGAAAAGATGGAAAAAAATAAAGGAAAGAGAGGGGAAGGGAGGAAGGGAGGACGGAAGGACGGAAGGACGGAAGGAAATCAGGAAGGAAAGAAGGACCTTTGAGAGAAGAGACAGTGAAATGAACGATGAAAGGAAGGAAGAGAGGAAGTTAATAAGAATGGAGAGAAAAAGAGTAAGAATAAGAAAACCTGAAAGATAACAACAAGAAAAAAGGAAGAAAAGAGGAAGAGAGGGGGGCAGAAAGACATTTTCCCCCAAACTTACACCAGTTTGTCTTGTRATAAGCTGACACACAGCTGCATTAGTTCCCTCAAGGGATCCATCATCAGCGTCTCGTTCAGATTCCTGACTCAACTGCATGAGCTGAGGATCCAAATACCGCCGTGGATACGAAAATGCTGTTGTCCCTACCCCTGATGGGCTAGCACCAGGACTTCTCGTCCTAAGTGAATTTATCTCAGCATCTTTTTCAGCTAAAAGTTCAATAGTTCTCTCCCTTTGTTTCAAAACTTGTTTTTCAAGTTCAACTAGTTTGTGCTTGTAAATAAGCTCCTGGTTTTGTTTCTCCTCAGTAAGATTTTCAACCGATGTTTTCAGCTCASTYTCAAGCTCTGAAATCCTTTGGCTCAATTCACTTTCTTTCTCTCTGCTTCGTTCTTGAATCTCAAGAAGTCTTCTCTCAACTTTGCTATTTCTTGTTTTCAATTTTTCTAAATTTTCCAGCTGTGCTGTGAGGTCTTTGAARGATTTGTTCTTGTGTAAGACACTGGTTCTTGTCTTGTAGAGTTCAAACTCATCTTTTAGTTGCTTAAGTTCTTGTTGGCAGGCTTTATGAGTTGGGTCTGAGTTGAGAATGGAGTCGAGCTCTGATTTACTAAGTCCTTCTAGATCTAAAAAAAAATGAAAAATTGTATAAACAATCTACCCAAACCTCAAACCTTAAATTATATGTCGAGTTTTCAATTCCAGGGCTTTTAAGGATTACCAAGACCTATGCGTTAAAGGTCTTAAAGGGACACTGTCAATGGATGACATGCGCAGTAACAGTCTCACCTCTAACGGACTTTGAAAGTATTACCTTCGAGGTAAATCATTTTGTGGTGCTTTTGACACACTTTGGGATATTCTAGATCTGTTTACGTTTACGAGCTGATTTATGTCGCGCCAACTTGGAGTCATAAACTTGACAAAATTAGCCTAATGTTTTCAAGTTTACTCGCGCATGCGTGCCATTGACAGTGTCCCTTTAAACAACATTGTCTGGTTACTGATTGACTTCGACGTTAAGTGTCTASCTAACTGATTTACCATGAAGATTTTAAAAATGTCTGGACGGCTGTTTGACTAAGAAGGAAAAGTGTCTGGYTTACTGAAGGAGTTAGATGGCAAAGTACCTGGCTAACAGTTCAACTTAGACCCAAAAGTGTTTGAATGTTTAGATGGAAAAGTGTTTGGCTAACTGTGTGATTTTGTTGTCTGGCTAACTGTGCAATTTTGATGGCAAAAACTGATTGACCTTCATGACAATATTTGGTGTATACTTATGAACAGGACATAATTCTTCAAATTTGCTGTCCACACTTTACCTCCTTCCACTGTCATTCCTGAGTTCTCTAATGCATATTTAAGAGCAGCTTTTAACTTATCAACGTGTTCTCTCAAAGAATCAACCTCAATGTCCATACATCTATTATCYTGTACTTCTGATGTTGGACTACTCTGTGACAAGGCTGTGTTTTCAACRTCMAGTTGTTGTAGACGGTCCTTTAGCTTCTGTATAACAAGTTGATCCTGGAATTTGAGCTTTTCATAATGTCCTACAACTTCTGACAGCTCAGAGAGTTTATTTTCTGAAAAGGAATTAATGGTGTGAATAAATTGCTATTAATCTTTTTCTTCTACACGTATTAAAAGTTATTGTAAGATTGCCAAGGAAGACAATACTTTACAATGGAAGTTGCCAGTGTGTTCCCACAAAATGTTTTCATTCTTTTTTCATAAAAAACACGTTATTTTTAGCTATAAAAGGTTATTAGATGAGAGTTTTTTCCAATACTTAAGCATACTTAAATAAATCTAAGATTCTCAGTTACTCTTTTCTGTAGTGAGGTATGCTACAACTCACAAACAAATATAAGCTTGTTTACCTAAATCCGATACTCTATCCTCTTCAAYGCTGGTCAAAATTTTCAACCTTTCCTCAGCTTCATTAGCACGCCTTTGTTCYCTCATTAAAGCCTCTACATTMTCTTTCTTCATCRCCTCCATCTCTTCCTGAAGCCTGAGCAACAAAGGTGAAGGCTTTGAGGCAGTTTCCTCAGTGTTTTTTAGTCTGCTYTGAATAGCTTCAAGCTCATCTGTTAGAGTTTTTATGCATTGTTCATATTCTAAAGCTTTGCTTTCAGGGATTGCTTTAGTAGAGAGKAGTTTCTCCTTTGCTTCATCAAGCTGTTGGTCAAGTTCTTCTCTTGCTGTGCGTTCCTTGGAAAGKAGAACTTGGAGTTCACGGAGCATCAACATGTTGTTGTTTTCTTCTTCTTCTCTGGATTTCTGCTCTTGTCGCATTCTTTGTTTGGACTTAGAGAAAATGATGGCACATTACAAATTCATGTTGAATAAATAGTTTTATAATAATAGTCATGATGGAACTGGATTGGGCATAAACCWATGAGGGAAAAGTGAAAATGACTGATAAATCTAGAATGGACATTGGAAGGAAGAAAAGCAAGGGGAGACCAAAGACTATGAGAAAAACGGTACTGAAAGAAAGGGACAATGCAGGATGGAAGACTTGGAATGAAGCCAAAATGGCAGCAAGAGATAGAGATGAATGGAAAGGGGGTTGAAGGCCTTATGCACCTACTGAGAGAATTATGATGATGATGAATGATGGTGAGGTACATGTATCTGTATTAAATTATTACCTCTTTCAGTTGATTCTCAAGTTCGTTCAGCTTCTTCTCCAACATTTCCTTTCCTTGTTGCATATCCTTCTGCTTTGCCTCAAACTCTTGCTAAAAATAGATCATTCAACACGAATTAAAATAATGCCTTGGCAAACAGTGCATATGAATATAAACTGCATAGCTAGCAAAACTGTTTACTGTTGACTTATTAGTCAACAATATTTATTAGTATATATGTATATTTATAATATTAGTTTAACAAATTTATGATAGAATGGTCAAAATTGTTATTAATAATSATAAATGATATTTTGATAATGAGATGACAACAATTGTGGTAAATAAGAGGTTTATTGCAAATAATTATTGCTCATTAGTTTGGCCCAAGATTTGCTGCAAGCAATATTAATGCAAGTGTTTGATATGGTCTTTTTCTTTGATTATTACCATCATTTTCTTCTTGTCTGCCTGGTAGTTTGACTCCATAATTYCTTTCTGTTCCATCASRGTCTGKAGAGCTGATGACAATGTTGAAACTTTYTCTTTTAAGAACAGAATTTCATCATTATTGTCACTTTTATCTTCTTCACTTTCATCAACATCAACCTTGTCATCTTGCTTCTCATTAAATTCATTCAACTTCTCATCTTTTATTTCTCCATTTTTCTCTTTTTCCTTCTCRTCTTGGGTTCCCTGTGGTGGTTCCATTGAYTCTTTAAGTGGATGGTCACATGTTTCTGCTGAAACAAGCCCTTTATTTCCATTGTTTTTCTCTTGTTTTGTCTCAGTTAAAGGTGAAGGGATGTCTACTTTTCTGGCTGTGGCGYTTTCTTGCTCAGAATTTTGTTTCTTTTTGTTGTTTTTTGATGGTATTTTAGGTAAATGTTCTTGCTGAGGAGAGGTTAGAACTTTGATACTCGCATTAAGAGCCTCTTTTTCCTTGAGAAGATTTTTATATGCACTGACAACATCTAAAGAAAATGATATTATAAAAGAGAGATATTTATATGTATCATAATTACTTAAAATCATTTCAAATCATTCTAGTCTTTAAGTACAGTTTTATTTTATGTATCATAATTACATTAATATTACACTGCCAAAATTTTATGGAACATTCAAATGGAGGTAAGATTGTGATAATAAAGAGAGAATTTATGCTCCGCCCCGTTATACCCTTATAAAGATACAACCCCCTCCCCCTTTTTATACCCCGCAACAAAGATACATCATAAATGAATGACTGAATATCATATCTTGTCTCTTGTACCCACAGGCATCCCAACATTTTCTTGTCCTCATCGACCCTCTTCCCCAAAAAAATCTTTTATTAATCATAGACTAATTCAGACAGGGTAACATACCTCTTAGACGTGTTTCATAACGAGTTAGTTGTTCACTTTGTGTCTCAATGATCTTAATCAACTCAGATCTCGATTTCTTCTCCATTTTTTATCTGTCAAACAGTATGCCTTTCTTTGAAGACATGAGTGAGTGACTTGCAGCTTTAGAAAACGTCTTCAACACAAAACCACCACAGCCGATATTGATATTTTACAATCATTAGTTAGCAACTAAAGGTCTCTTCATTTGATTYCAAGCATAATACTTTGGGCAAATTGAGAAATAAAAGAAAAAAAATTGAAAATAATTAAAAAACATCCACGTATACGTCCGCCATCTTGGATGTTTATAAGCCTCGCTTGCACGCATATTCCCAGTCCTCCTCGACTGTTAATTGAAAGACTAATGGTCACTGGGTCACGTGATGTTGCGCAAACCAAAATGGCGGCTATCAGCAAGAAGCAGGAGTCAGCAGCTCGTAGCTTTAGTGCTGTTTTGGAGAGCATATGCCGAGAAAGGCGACGGAAAAACATAGACAAAGTCAGCGAAGGTCTGTCTTTTATTTGACCAATTTTTATCTTTCTAGCTATTTTCGTATTTAGTGAATTTACAATTTTTTCCAATGTTTTTGCTCAGGGGGGTTCGTTGTTTTGGCCATTGAATCTTTCTGGACAAGACTTTTCTCGCAGTATTTTATCAACAACGACGATGATAGTCGAGATGACTTATTGTTTTACGTAAAAGGGAGCTCTGGTGGGAAGACAGCGAGCGGGTCAAGTAGTGCTGAGGTGTGTTCATGTTAATTTTACGTTTTTGATGGATTCTTGATTACTGTAACGATCACCAATGTGATTGTAATAATGTTCGTATTATTATGGTCATTATAGACMTCATTGTTGTTTAAATGCTAAATTATTAATTGATCTCTAAAGGTCAAACTTTGCGAGAAAATATTTGGAGATATATCATATCTGCATATCTGCGCATTTTTTTAATGTCAAGTTTAAATTGTCAATATTTTTCACAATTCATTCAATCTGTTTTTACTCTGTATTGAGCATCCATTTTGGAAATCTCTGAGGCTGCAAAAAGAGGTCCATATATGTATGCGTGGAAGGAGTTTTTTGGGGTAAACGATCAATGTCTGGTTGATTCTATTCATGGTAGGCCAATGTTATTTAAAACTGTGGTAGATTATCCCAGCCACACCACAGAGCCGCCTACACTCTCAAATTTCGGTGTCAGTAACTTTATCGTAAACCTACATGTATTTAGTATATTTTATTTTAACTAAACAACAGTACCAGTCTTATTAAGGCATATTTCTTCCAGGCAAGAATTGCTGTATTTAGAAAAGATGCCAAAAACCTGCCAAGGTATTTAATTAATTAATCCAATAAATTTCATATCATTCAGACAAAATGATATATGCTCTAGTAGCAATCTTATTGATAATCTCAAATACTTTATACAGTCTAGGGGATCCTGACATCAATTGGGAGGAAACAGTTTGTCTTAACCTAGTTCTTCACCAGGTAAATAAGGACTTTGCCCTTCTGAACTTTGCTTGTACATTCATTGTTTTTCCAGTCCATTCCCTACTCCATTGGGCTTCCTGTGGAATTTTTGTTGACACAGGAAGCCCAATGAAGTAACATGACATTGTGCTTAAACAAGTGCAATATATTTTAATTACATATTCTAGTTTGAATATACCCTCACTTGTGCTGTATGCACAAAACCACTGGAGAAGGAGTTGAGAATTTTAAGGCGTATATCTCAGGTARGAACTTTTTTTCAGAATTGTCATGACATGATATATAGAAAAACCTATTCTTGCTATCCCTTTATGCTGTATAAATGGAAAATTATATTGTACAATTCACTCTCAGTGTTGAATCTTGGAAATGGATTTCAAATGGATATTTTGTTCTTGTGAGACTATTCAAGCCGCAATCTCATTGTATGCCACCAGACGGTGATGACTCATTATAATGAAGAGCATGAGACAATTATAATTTTATTTTTTCTCTACATAGAAAGTGTATGCCTCGCCAAGCAGAAGAAGGTACGACAAGAACTTTGGCGATATTGTTTGCAGAATTGCATTCAATTACTAATATTAATAGACCTTTTCTGTATCATGAATTTGAATCATGGTGCATTGTGGTATAGAATCAGTACACATAACACCATATTTGGCAGCATGAACCAACCAGATGTTTGTACCGAATCTAGACCACAATGCAATGCAAACTACTATCTCAGAAAAGGCCTATGCTGTCATTATGTCATCTTTTCTGTTTGGTCTGTATCAGAATGGATAGCAAGGGMGAAGGAACAGAGATTTCTTATCCAAATATGTTTTTTATTGTGGACAACTTTGAGGAGGTGAGATATTTACTTKAGTGAGTTTGGGATGCCTGTGGCATCATCCACAGGCATCCCAACATTTTAAGCATAAATTTGAAAAATATATCTTTTATTAAGAATAAAAGAAACAAAAAAGGAATGGAGTCAAAGGTCATGTGACAAGACATTGACATAAGCATAGCAATAATCATAAGGGCAAGCAAACTTAAGGCTAAAGAACAAACAAAAAATACATCTTCTTTTTCAAAGTCTTTTCTCATCCATGAATTAATTGTTTTTTCTCCCTATTCTTGTGTAAACCAGGCTGTGAAATAGTGCAATTTTGCTCACTAAAACTCAGTGTTCCAATGGYATTTTTTTAGGTGTATAAAGATTTTTCCATCAAAGAAAATGAGATGGTCTGTGTAGAATTAGTAGCTCATGATAAGGTAAGGTTTTGGTTTAATAGTTGATTTTAAGTGACACAATAATATAATATTGGTGTAATTTTTTTTCTTGTTTTCAGAGTGACTCAATGAGGGGGGTAATATTTCTTGGATCAATAAGATTTGAAGCTCTGAAGAAAGTGTACGAAGGACGGGTGTGTGTTTTAAGATATACGTATTATAATGTGAAGTTTCCTTTCCATGTATTTAACCCATTCATTCATTTTTTCATCCACCCATTTCTCCCTCCCTTCTTCCCTTCATTCATTTATTCAACATTCATACATTTATTCACCAATCCATTTCCCTGATCATCCATTCATCTCAATTGTCATTATTTTATTTTTTATAAAATCATATATCATATTCATGTAGCCTTCTATCCAAATTTATTTGTTCATTTAATCCATCTCCCATCCATCCATTTATTCACTTGTCTCCATCAATTTTGTGTACGTCCCTGTCATTTGTCCATCCATCTATTCATTCAGATTGCAGATTCAGATTTCAGATTTTATTATAACTTCGGTGTAATATTTGACAAAAACACATATAACCTGCATATAGCAAAAACCATTCATATCTCTTCAGGTTAAGTGCTGAGCTCAGGTCATTATTTTCATGCATCCATTTCTTCAGTCATTTGTTTGTCCTTCTATCCACATTCTAACCATCTATCCCTCCATCTGTTCATTTAATCCGTCTTGTCTCCTTCAATTTTGTGTTACATGTACACTGTATGTCTCTGTTATTTGTCAATCTAGCTATTCACTCATAGCTCATTAGATTATTAAATAAATGTTTACTGTTTCAGGCCAGTGTRGCTACAAAAATGGCACAGAAAATGTCAATGGGCTGGTGGAAGGGACAATCAACCACTGAATTCATCAAAATGAAAGGACCTGGCGGGAAAGGCCATGCAGAAATGTCTATAAGCAGACCTAAAGATTGTACAGATGGGTAAGAAAAGAAAGTGTTGGCAAAATTGAAAACAAATTAGGGTATAAGGAAAGAAGATCATTCAATATTAGTCAGTTATGGTCGGTCAAAATGAGTGCCTCAGATTGAAGTCCGCCAAGAAATACTTTAGAAAAGAGAGGGAAAAGTGAAATTACTCAAAGTACATCAGAAAAACCACTAAGTTCCTGTTTTTTACCAGGCAAATGTTCTGTCCTGACTGTGGTGGTGTGGATGGCAGTGAGCCTTTGACTTCACTAGAAGATAACATATGTCAATGTAAAACCACWGAAGATAACACAGAATCTAGTACAACAAATCAAAGTTTTTCCAAGAGAAAGAAAGGTAAAGGCCAATTTTGATGTAGACAATGAAAATATTTTATAATAAATACTTTTTTTTTAACTTTTTCTATTGCATGCTTTTAGTTTTATTTTCTAAATTTAATGTTATTTCTGATTTATGGATTTTTTTGTTTGTTTTTCAGGAGCAAATACTTCTCCAACTAATTCAGCAGCACAGTGGATGAAGTTTAGGTAATTGATTTAAAAAAAAACTTCAGTTAAAAAATGAAATATTTCAGTTATTTAATTTTTTTTAGAAGTGGTAATTGGCAACTTACATTCTTAATTGTTAACAATTTCATAGGAAATTATTCTTCACTTCCCAAATTTCTTTTCCCCTTTTGTTTCACATTATTTTTTCACTCGTATTTTGTTTATTCAGGAGGAAATCACTGGGAGCACCAAGTTTATGTGCCTATCTTACTTACGTTACMTTGCCATGGCATAAAATTATGACAGGTATGAGATGATACATTTACTAGGGAGGGKWGGGTCTGGCCTGACTTTATGTAATACCACAGGTAACCCAACAATGTAACACAACCAGGCCCCATATTCAGGCTCAGTGATCAAAGACAAGGTATGTGTTCATTGTTCCTTGCACCTGTTTATGGTCACTGAACCTGGGTATGTAAAGTGGCAAAAAGGAAACCTGTCAATACAAACCACAGGTAGCCCAATAAACAACAGCACGGGCAGCCCAACAAAGACCAATAGTTAATTATGATTATCACAGAAAATTGTTATTTTTTTACAGATATCCTAGAAGTTCGTCAGCAACCAATACTCACATGACCAAATGATCCTGAATGATTACACCTACGTGCAAAATTTTATATTACAGAATTTTATATATTATTGCATAGATCATAGAGATGCACATTATTGCAGAGATTATAGTCACTATTACATTATATATATATATATATATATCAATATAAAATATTATTTTCATGAAGTAGAATAGCTATTTTATAGTCTAAAATTCAGCAATAATTGTTGCTCCACAAAACAATCCAAAATTTTTAACTTTTATGTTCAAGTTTTTGTTGTTGAAAATTTCAGTTGTGTTTCCAAGATTTTCTTGTTATTTGTGTTCTAATTTTCAATCCTGAAAAGGAAAGTTACTAGTAAAACTGCAATTAAAATCAAAAGGCAGGCAGGGCAGAGTGACACAAATATGTTCACTAATAATATTTAATATAATTATTACTATAAATATAATCTTATTTCTACTGATGGTACTCTAGTTCCATCTTGAAAGGTAGTTACACCTTTGCATTAATGAGACAGCAATAGTCTCTTTCACGGTTACGTGTGCCATCTTGAAAGGTAGCCGTGCCTTTACATCAAAGCGAGACAAACGTTGAACATGCAATGATACATGTAGATATCTGTGAATAATTGTCTGTAGGTGTGAAAGAAGGTGTCTATCATTGCACGCTCAACGGTCGTCTCACTTCGATGCAAAGGTACTGCTACCTTTCAAGATGGCGCAGGGAACCGTGAAAGAGACTATTAATTTGATTCGTTTTTCAGTCGTAGCATTTGAGCAAGTTGTCACCAAATATGGTATTAACTGTCGGAACGCTCTACTATGGCTCTGTATTCCACCGTGTAATATTCGGGACCACTATTGAGCTTGATAGATACCTGTGAATAATTATTTTAATATGAAATAAAGGTATCTATCACTGCACTCAACACCTCTTGCTTTGATGCAAAGACTCGGCTACCAAAAGATGGCACTGGGGAATGTAAAATATAAAATTTCTTAGGAAAACAATGACTTCAAAAATCAGAAACCTGTAGGGGACTTGAAACGTGTAATGCCCATACATTTCTTTAGTACCAAAGGTCGGAATATTCAAAGCTCATTAAAAATTCAAAATTGAACGTTATGGCCATATTTGGAAAGTTCTGCCATTGGATAAGAGATATAAGGCCCGTTCTGGTTGGCTAGTGCAAATTGAATTGTTCCAAATAAGGACTGAATGAGATGCAAATTAGATTTGAATATTCCAACTGATGGCACGGAGTTACACGTTTCAAGTCTCTTATAGGTTTCAGCTTCAATTCAGCATACAGTTAAAGTGCTGCTTTTACCATCTACCTACATTTTGTGAATGAGTATTACAAATAATTACTACATAATGATTCATGATATACTCTGATAATTAAAATACAGTTTATTTTTATAATAAAATAAATACATAACAACATTGGATATTCATTTGAAACAAAACAAGCTATTGAGCATGATTCTCTTCAATGGTATGAGAGCGATCCAATCRAGGTTAAAAGTGAGGGCACTCCAACCAGGACCACCATTCCAACCATTGCATTTTCTGTGCTGCCATTACTTTGCTAATGGTCAATCCCTTAGAATTATATCCATTGATTATCAATATCTTATGTCAAGCTTTCATGAAGGGATGAAAGTTCTGGTGTACTTAGTGTTGCATCAACCAAGTCTTCAATCTAGTAAAAAACAATTATGACAATTACTACCTCCTCACAAACCCCTTGAATTTGGGCTTCCTGTGGTTTGAGCTCCCCTCCTTTTTTTTAGTTTTTATGGCAAAAAATGAAACCTGCTCTATCTGGTTGGTCAACCCATTAGAACTGCTGAACCCGCAACAAACTAACTGACAATCAACTTGCTAGAACAGGTTGAGAAACCCAAAAATCTAGTATATACTGGGCGCCCAACCCCCTCTATCTGGTTGGTCAACCTGTTACAACCCAACCCGCTACAAACTAATTAACAAACAACCTGGTAGAACAGGTTGAGAAACCCAAAAATCTAGTATATACTGGGCGCCAGACCTGCTTTATCTGGTTGGTCAACCTGCTGTGTGCGCTGCATTTTTTGTCATTTTTGTTGTGCTTAGGATGCCATCAAATAATGAGATGTATGTATAATAATTAATATATGTTACACGTACCATATCACGGTATGCATCAATGCGCTTGGAGTAGTGTACAATCTTTTG